AGAGAGAGCAAATCCCGCCAACCATCCCGTTGTTAAGAAGAGCCCCGCTGCCGGAGAAGTCACCGCTTTTACCAAATGCTGAACTTGGGGCAAAACTGCGAGCATTGCCCCGGCAGCAACCATAGGAAAGGAGCGCTCCCGCCCGCGGAGGCAGGCGCAGCCTCGGGGGCTGCATCATTCCCAGGAACAAAGGAGGGAATACAGTCGATACATTCCATAACGTTTACATTTTCCCGCGATTTTTTCTTAATTTTCCCTTAGAAGTAGTGACCTGGGCAAAGCACCCCGCTATCTAAAAGACACTGTTATAGCCCTTTTAGAAAAACTAAGTCCAAGGCCGAGGTGAACTTCAGGTCACCGCGTCTAACAAATATGAAAATGTCGCCTGGTGAAGGGCACGCCTTGTTATTTAACAAAGACTGTCAATGTGTAAGATTAATAAGAAACAAAATGCACACGGTGTCACTTTTCGGTCACTTTGAAACTTGGGACAGCCTCGCATTCAAGAGGGGAAAGCTGGGGCTAAATATATTCAAAATGGTTCAAATCAAATTCAAACCAGGCTGCTAGTGCGATTCTTCCTCCTCCTACCGCTCTCGGTGGAGGATGCCCGGGCACGGCGAAAGGTTGACTTGAATTATTATTATTATTATTATTATTATTATTATTATCATCATTATCATTATCATCGTTGTTGTTGTTGTTGTTGTTATTACTATTCTTGATGTTAGTATTATTTTCTCTTTCGGGGTAATTACGTTTTAGCCGCGCATGTGGAGGGTGGCAGGAGTGTATGCCTGTTTCACAAGAAAAAGGGGGATACCCCTTTCCCCCCTCTGTATGAGGGGGTATGTATGAGGTCGGCTCTTCTGGGCGCATGGAAATTAACTCCCTCTCAACTTAGTTCCAGTGGGCTCCCCAGCTCCTCCTCGGTCAGCCTCGGCCAGGAAACTCTCGCTCCTTTATTAACTGGTTAAAGTCTCCTTCGCCAGAGAAATTGAGCCTTTAGTCCTTCTGGAAAAATAAGGGAGCTGGCCTATTTTTCCTCTCCTTTTCTTTCTTTGAGAGCTTGGGATGATGCTACAAGTTTGTTAAAGGGAAGTACCGGGGAAAAAAAGGGTTTCTGAGATTGTTTATTACAGCCATAAATCTTGCAGTAAAATGTCGAAATGGCCGTGTGCAAGATAACACTTGGTGGTCTTGGCCGGGTTCTTGTTTATGATAGCAAAACCACAAAGACATGGAACAGGCCTTTTGGAGGTCCTGCCTCAGCACATCTTCGCAGACAAATAGAACCACACGAAAAAAACAGACTTCGGCTGAGCAGCTCAGGTCACCTTGCAGATTTACAGTCGTATACAAAATTGCATCCTTCTCCCCTTAACCCAGCGCCAGAGCCCCACGGTAGAAAGAGGCGTAGAGAAACAAGTATACTTTGAGATCTAATCACGGTAAATAATACGAAACAGAGCCCGGTCCGCTCTCCCAATATAGCGCTGAGCTTACAAACCGGGACACCACTTTTCGTTGTGTTTTACCGTGGCTGGGGAGCACGGCAGCCCGCTGTCGCGCCCTGGCCACAGTGTCTCAGGACTTATGCCGAGGACAATATTTACGGTAACCCGGTGTAGTTCATCTGGTGCTGGCCGGCAGGTATTTGTACGTCTGTGTCTGTACGTGTGCATGGATCTCTTCACGCCGGGAAGGTGCTCTCTGCTCGTGGTGGACTTTGGCAACCTTTTATTTTTTACAGTCATGTAGGTGGGAGCCCTATTCTTTTACAGCGTGGGTTGCTGTTGTTTTCTGGGGGGGGTTGTTGTGTGGTTTTTTTTTTTTTAATGTAAATAAACCAATCTCCTCTTCCCTGTCAAATGTGTGTTGGCGAACAGTTGCGGCTGTCTCTGCGTGCGCGTGTGTAACCGCATTTCCTCTCCATGCAGAGTAAATAGAGAAACTTATCTATTACCCCAGTTAAAGAGTTCCATAGATGTGCTGTTGGAAATGAGTAAGTAAATGTGTTTTAACTCTCTTTACAAATTAGACATTCGATAGGAGGAGGAAATGAGTGATTGTTTAGATAAGTACCCCAGTATACCCAAGTGCTGGACATGTTCTAACATATTACAAGCCGCCTGCAATGTGCGTGCGCGTGTGTGAGTGTATAAAATATAAATCCATACGGTGTGCGTCTTGTTAGATAGAATATATTGTCAAATAGAATTTTATTGCATGTATCCGTTATCTATAAAACTGCAAAAGACAATAATCTGAATTTAAACCAGGGTAACTGTTAATGTAGTACCTTCAGGAGGGCAAGATCTAAAACGTACCGTATTTACGCTTGATATATTAGACGTATTTTCCCATACCAGCAGATGAGATTACCCACTCAGCAATTATATTCTCGAGGGGTGCGGTAAATATTTCTATGTGTTTATATGCTTTTCTGAAAAGGAGAAAAAAAAATCCGAAAAGTTCGCTTCTAACTCCGAATGTACCAGACTAGCTGACGTTCAGTAAGTATTTTTTTCCCCTTAGAATAAGAGCGTAATTAGTTTAACCATCAAATTTCAATTACCTAAGGTCAGGGCGGTTGCCTCTTTTCCCTCTGAGCTGCAAATATCGTTAACAGTCTCAGCTTTAGCAACGCAGAAGTGCCCGAGTGCCCTCTCCCTCCCACGCCAGGGTTTGCGAGTTACTCCTGCAAAGGCGCTAGCGATTTCTCGTGGAATTGAAAATTAAGAAATAAACCCACGATGAGGCATACCAAACCGACGGACTTAAACTCGTAGTTTGGAAACCGCTCCTCCGCGGGGAGGGATGCTCGCGGTGAGCCCTGCGATCGCCGGTAGGAAGTATTTGATACCGTCGTGTCCGCCTTCCCCTCTCTCCCTTCCCTCTCTCCTCCCCGTT